ACCGGTAACGTAAACGTAATCAAAACATTTACCAGAGTACATGTAATCGTAGAAGAAGTGTGAATCAGATCGTCACAAGAGAACTGACAGGAAATATTATCTGTTCTTTTGTAGACTTTAGTCTCCAAATCCCCCAAAACACTACTTTTCTCATAGGGGCGGTGATGGTCGTGACGAGCGTTAGCCACCTTCTCATATATATACTATGTAGATAGAGTCGACTATTGATAGAAACAGATGCCCGTGGCTTTTGACCTTCTTTGTAATACAATATTCTCACTCTTACTTCCCTAGAACCACAAATAGTCAGCATTAGTTCTTAAATTATTTAAGTATTGGGAAGGGAGTAATAAACCGCATTGCAATGTTTGTAAGAATGCTTGCCTTCCATTTCAGAATGCTATTGGTATAGTCAATATTATTAACAACATACAGGATTCTAGAGATACGATACTCGATATAGCTGATAAGGACTGTAATGTTACCAAAAGGTAGATAAGTCTATACTTACAAAATAAAGGTCAAGTAGGTGATCTTACACCTCTATCAATCTATCAATATAGGTCAAGTAAGTGTCCCGACAAATCAACATCAAGAAGCTGAATTGAAATATAAATGTGGGTCAAGTAGATAATCTGGTAAATAGATAAAGGTCACAAAGATGTACTTACAATTCAATATAGGTCAAGTAAGTGTACTTACATATCAATGTGGGTCATGTAATTGCAGTGAGAAATCAATATAGCTCAAGCAGGTGAACTGGCAAATCAATATAGGTTAAGTAGATGTACTTACATATCATTATAGTTCAACGTGTATCGTCAAATCAATATAGGTCAATAAGGTGTATCGTCAAATCAATATAGGTCAGGTAAGTGTACTGAGAAATCAATATACCTCAAGTAGGTGAACCGACAAATCAATATAGGTCAAGAAGTTGAACTGAAAAAAAAAGTATGGGTAAGATTTTTAAACTGAGAAATCAATATAGGTTAAGTAAGTGTCCTGAAAAATCAATATAGGTCCACGAAATTGAATTGATATATTCATAAAGGTCACGTAGATGTACTCACAAATCAATGTTGGTCAAGTAAGTAAAATTTAAAAAAATCAGTTTAGGTCAAGTACATGCATGCCAAATCGATATAGGTCGAGTAGGTAAGCTGACAAATCTATATGGGTCAAGAAGGTGAACTGTAAATCGATGAAGGTTAACTTAATTAATATTGGCCAACTTACAGATCAATTTATGTCAAGTAGATTTACTTACAAATCAATATAGGTGAACTAAAAAATAAATATGAGCAAGTAGTTGAACTGAGAAATCAATATAGGTCGAGTTTTTCCTGACAAATCAATATAGGTCAAGAAGTTGAACTGAAAAATAAATATGGGCAAGCAATTGAACTGAGAAATCAATATAGGTCGAGTTTCCTAACTAATCAATATACGTCAAGAAGGTGAACTGAAAAATAAATATGGGCAAGTAGTGAGAAATCAATATAGTCCGAGTTTCCTGACAAATCAATATAGGTCAAGTAGATGTACTCACAAAACAATATAGGTCAAGAAGGTTAACTGACAAAACAATATAGGACTACATGTAGGTGAACATACAAATCTATGTAGGTTATGCAGATAAATCAAAGCAGGCCATTCCGATTATAACATATACTATCAATGTCGGTCAAGTAGGTATACTTATAAATCAATTTAGGTCAAGTAAGTAACTTAATATCGATGTAGGTCAAGTAAGTGTACTGCAAATCAATATAAGTCAAGTAGCTGTACTTACATAGCAATGTAGATCATTTGCTTGGACTTAAATTTTATGGCTGTCAAGTAGATGTACTTACAAATCAATTTGGGTCAAGTAGATGGAAATACAAACCAATGTAGGCCAAATTTATGAAATATGGGACAATATTAATTTTCTATTATTACAGGATTTTAACCACTTTAGATCGTTTAGACACAAAACTAATTACTGGTAGTAATAACTTTTTGAGCGTGGTGACATCGAAAACGGTACTGGAAATTCGAGATTTAGATCCGCTAAAACCAATTCAGATTGGCCTATCTGCAAATGGCGGCAAGGATCGACCAGTCACGTCATTTAAAGAAGATGACTTGAATTCCATATTTTACGAGCATGATATGGTGTATGAAACGGCTGATGTGGGGATTTACTTAAATCGAGAATTTGTGGGAAAATTAGCGAATGGTAAGCAGAATGGGCTATTTACAGTCAGAACTCATCTCTCATGCATACCTATATAGACTTTACTTTTATTCGGGCTTATAAACTTTCCTTAATTCAATATGAGTGTATTGTATTGTACAATCGTTCTTACCTCTTCTGTTAATTTTGAATGCGCACTAATTATTTGTACAAATTCTGGATTTTCGCTGACTTTGTTGTATGTCACAATTTCATCCTTTACAATGTGTTGTTTTGTAAATTATATTTTACATTAAAGACATGAGTTTTTTTTTTATTTTCAGAGTTAAAGACAACCAGAATACGACTAGCAATGCGACTATTTAATGATAGTACTCTGTTTATAAGTAATAATAGCACAAGTAACAGATTTCTACCCAACAGTAAAATAATATCAGCTACATTACTAGTAAACGATATTCCATATACTGATTTGAATGATACCTATATCACAGCTGTTTTCCTACCATATAAGGTATATATTTATCTATACAGTCAAGTAACCTAATTTCGTGCTAACCTATTTTTCGTTCATTTCCGGAAATGACTAATTATTTACATGTGCAACCTCTCGTGATCTCCGCATTTGCTTGTTTTGATAAACATGGGTTTTCTGTACGATGTCAGCTAGTAAAATGAATCCAGTAGTTTCAAGTTTTAATGTATACTTTGACAAATACAAAATGGCGGATTTCAGTTATTACCAAACGTCACCATTTTTTATCGGCCGAATTTCCTTATAATCCCAAGCGGTATTCGGAATTCCAAGTGTCGTCTGCTAGAATGTAGTCCAACGAATGAAGTCACGTGATCAACCAGCAGATTCCGTGTCAGCAGAAAATTTCGATGGAACACAAAGTGGGCCATATTCTTATGTTGTTTCAGTGACTTTTAGCAATAAATCACGCTACGTATCGTATTTTGTCAGTCACTATTTTTTTTTTAAATCGTGGTTCTTTGAAGGAATTGTCACTAGTTATAACGAATTGATATTAAAGATAAATACTAAGAGAAGTTAATTATACCACTGGGTATGCTTACCACGTGTTTTTCTCGACTTATTTATAGATCAAACATTGTACACGAAAATAGGTGACGCATTCTGCCGCCGTTGCCGAGTTGGTTGCTCATGAAATATGGGTCAATATGGGATTCATTAAGAAAATCGAAACAAACCAATTTTAATCATTTTGTAGAATATTTGAGGAAACATCTAAGACATAAAAAAAAATTTCGTTTTTTTAACTTTGACGAAATTCGGTGAAATAACAGTGAAATAACATTTCAACGAAAAGTAATTGTCAAAATAAATAGAACCTAATAAACCTTTTCGATCCATCATCATTGGCTAAATCTAAATTATTTGGCTCACCTAATTTCAAGATCACGTGACATTTAGACATTTAGATTTAGTGGTTCGCTCCCTCTGCCCACTTGACCACTCAAGTTTTACTTGATATAATTTTTTCATAATGTGAAAAGTATTTGGGACTGATAATGAAAATGGAAGGTCTGACTTGATTGACTTTAATAGGATACCTTGATTGATTATATTTCCACGAATGAATTAAATTTTTAGCACATCAACGCCCGTGTCCTTGATTATAGACGCCATAATTTGGACTATTCCTATTTAATTTAAGCCTTTACAAACCGAAGTTAGACAAAATTTTAGCATCTGTGCGTTTTGGAACATTGAAGCTGGACAATGGTCATCAGAAGGTTGTGAATATAAAAACACTACCAGTGGACGGGATGTGTGTATTTGTGATCATCTGACTAATTTTGCTGTTCTGTTGGTAAGTTTTGGTGTGTCAAAAGCAGTCATGGAAGATGGTTGAATCGTTATGGGTTTCTGTGGTCGAATCGTTGACTAGCGCATAGGACCCTTTTTGTTTGCTAGTGCACGCATACTTTTCTTGGTTTTTCAGTAGATTCAAGATCAAAATATTTTTGAGTCAATTTTGTTATATTCAAAGCAATTCCGGTTTACATCGACCTCAATTGTATATTGTAAATTGCAAACCGTATATATCAATGATAAACAATGAGAGATAATTTTAGGCGAATATTGCAAATTGTAATTTTTAATGCCCCATGTGCTTGTTATTTCTACAAATCGGAACCTCTCAATATTGAATTTGGTGTGTCTTATTTCAGGATTATTATGGCCAAGATTATCTGATAGAAGAAGTACATCGTTTAGCTCTGAGTATTATAACTATTATTGGATTAACTTTGTCTATTATTGGATTGGGTTTAACAATTCTCTCGTTTATATTGTTCAGGTGAGAATTGATGTCATTCGATCATCTTGAAGAACCATAGGACCATTTATTACTTTTTATTGCCTATACCTAATATCTTGACTGCATGATTTCAATATCAAAGGCAACAATAAGCTGTAAATTACCTCTTAAGGAGTCAAATCCCTCCCTCTTTCCCTAACACCCCCCTCCCCCTGTACTACACTGGCACCACCACTAGATGGAAATATAATTTCGAGATGTATAATTGAAGCTAGGCACTGAATCGAAGTATAACTTCAGGATTCAGGAAGGTTTTTTATGTATATGAAAGTAAATAAATTAGTCATTTCAAGGGAAACAACTGATCTAAAAAAAATTTTGTACATAAAAGAGATGGTTTATGCTACTGTTTTCATTGCTCAGTATGTGATGTTCATCTTCAAAAACAGTCTAGAGCTCCATTTCATTTCAATTCCAGTAAATTACGTAAAGGCAGGCCACAGCAGACTCTTTTTAATCTGGCCCTAGCCATGTTGTGTTCTTGGATTGTATTTTTGGCGGGAATAAACCAAACAGACGATTATGGTGGATGTATAGCCGTTGCCGTATTACTCCATTATTTCATATTAGCTTCCTTTATGTGGATGTTAATGGAAGGTATCCTACAATACTTGTTGTTTGTCAGGGTTCTTGGAACCTACTTTGAAAACTACATGTGGAAGACTGCTATTTCGGCATGGGGTAAGTGAATCGTTTTAATACACTTTGGGAAATCTTCTCTGATAATATGACGACAAGGTGGTAAGAGTTTGAATGGTTGAAAGGGAAGATCAAGTCAAGCTTGCGACCAGCAAAATACAAGAGTAACCAGTTTCAGACAGTAACTGATAGCGTCTGGGGGAATCGCATTAGTCGCCGTATGTTCCGATATCTTGAGTCAGTCACAGGTTGCTGCCAATTGCCATCAGTTGCTTATTTTCTCCTCTCTGGTGAAATTTGCGACAATTCAGTTGATCGCAGTTGTTAGAAGTAATCAAATCTCGATATTAGCGATTCGCTAAGATGATTAGAATCACAAGTCCATCTGAGCCCACTGGCTGGTGAAGAATGTCAAATTCAAAACAATGTTCTAAGAAATAATGATAATGCTTATAATGAAATAGATTTCGTTCCAAAATGTTTTGGGCTGATCCTTTGTGTCGGTTACTCGAATATATTATTTGACTATTCGTCAATAAAACATTTTGTTTTACAGTATTACCTTTAGTCCCGATTATTGTTATGTTAGCTATTGATATTGATCTGTACAATGGTGGTAATACTTAGTAAGTTGTTCATTTCTACTCCTGATATTATAACCATCAAACATGTATTTCTAGTGTACTTTGAAAGGGACGTGTCCGTCTGAGATGACAGCTTCATTTCTGATACCGTCTTGCAAACTGATATACAGCCGACCGTTCCCCTTTAACCATGCCTTTTATATGAGATTTCTTCTATTATCGCCCAACCATTTTTAGTCTTGTGTTGAATAAACAAACTTCCTTCAGGTGTAGCGTGTTTTGAGCCATTCTTTGTTCCATATAACAACAGCGTTAGTTAAAATTACATAAAAGCCTGAAGTATAAGTAAACTCTGACTCATTACATATTTATGCTTTGTTTACAGTTGTTGGATGTCATTAACTGGGTTTTATTATGGATTCTCTATCCCAGTTGGGGTTATTATACTAGCTAATATTATCATATACATCATGGTAACTTGTAGTATATGTAACAGACGGAATATTAATACTGGCGATTCGAAATCAACTTCCAGATCAACTCTCACCAATATTAGAGCTTCCTTCTGCTGTTTCATCATTTTAGGTAGGTGTACAAATCCAATATTATTACTATCTGGTTAAAATGTCGTGGGTGACCGCTCGAAACCTCGTACAATGTATTTCGAGCTTTCCAAAGGTACCAAAAAGTCAAAATGACAAAATATGGCATATGCATGTACGATGTTTCAAGCGTTCACCCACGATATTGTCCTGTCACATTCGTCTGTAAGTTTAATTTTTTGAAATATCAGTTTGAAAACAGTAACTATAGTCTTGGAATTGCTTTGCGTAGGTGAAATATATAGTTTTGCATTTAATATACAACGTAAGACTGTTTCTGAGGAAAATATCAAAATATTGATTGAAAATACGCGCCAACTTTTTAAAAATATTTTTATCAGGGTAAAACCAGTAAAATTCAGTTTACCTACAAATGAGTGAAGAAAGTAGTTATGATTTAAAACTTGAAATCACAGCCTCACTCCCCGCATTATAGAAATACAGGTTTCCTCCTTGATAATCTATTCCCAATTATCAAAAGTATCTAAAAGGAAATTAGTCTTGTCCTATCATACAAATAGACATCACAGGCTTAACTGATTTTTTCTTATCTTATTAGGAGTCAGTTGGATTTTTGGTTTCCTTGCAATATCAGATGCCAGATTAGTATTCCAGTATATATTTACTATCATCAATTCTATACAAGGTTTCCTCATATTTGCACTCTTCACCCTGAGAGATAAGAATGTCCGTGACTACTGGCAAGAACTGTGTTGTTATAGGTCGAAATTTAATGGACAATCTAGTAAACAAAGGACCAAGACTAGTTCCGAATCAGCAGCGAAAAACTCCAGTGATTTGACTTTCTCAGATGTAAGAAAAAACAGCACTACTGTGAACGACATTAACAGCAACGATCAACGACAAGAGCCATATACACAGCAATTGTAAACGTCCCCCAGTCTCATCTTCATTATCCATCTGTGTTGTTTTACATTACAAACGGGTTTATACATTAGATCAAGTCATGCATTTGTTTTTTGGATTAGAAAGTAGAAAGGTCAATCTGTTACCAATTTGAATTTTCTTGGAAAAGATCATTTAAAAATGTAGGACTTGTGGTACAGTTACTGTCAACCTGTGAAAGCATCAAGATCTGTATTTCAATCAGAACGACTTCATGCAATGACATTATTTTAGAAATAAAGAACTTGTATGTTTGTGAAATATTGTTTATATTTATCAGCGTAGGTTACAGAATTATATTTTAAAAAAATGATTAAGTCAACAATGGAGTGTGGATGGGTCTGAAGAGAAAATATAAGAAACCATTTCAAACAGGATAATGAACTGTATGTGTTTCGGGAGGAAATAAAAGCCGTACATTAGAGATCTACACGGAACGGAAATATCGTGTCATTTATGAGCCAGCGAAGTATTATTAATTCGATGTACTTGGTCTCTCTCTGGTTAGAATCGTTAAAACCTCATGAGCTGTTGGCCTTTTGTTAGGATCTGCAAGATTACATTTTCTGACAACTTCTCGGAGCTGAAAGAATAAGAAATATTAGAAACACGATGTTAATGTATCAAGGTGTCATGTGCTATGTCCAGCCCAAATTATTTTAATCAGCATACAATATTGTATATCTTCTGTAGATAAAACATTTGGATACGACTGTTGCTTTGAACTTAAAGTTCAGATTTGACAAGGTTTCAAGGTGCCTGACCTTATTAGTAATATTTCCAGTTTAAGGTCCTCTGAAGATCTTCAGGCCATGCTACTGCACAACTTCCTGAACCTGATTAACTCACGTAAAAAGTCTGTTTTATAACCCCCTATACCTTTGATAGAATAAATTCTTCTTCTTCATCATCAACTTTTATAACTTCTTGTTGTTTCATTTTATCATCATCTGTTACTACATCATCTTTTTCTGTGTTAAAACATTCATTAATTTCACCTAGTAATACATTAGTATTAGTATTATAATATACATAAAATACATAAAACTCGTGTGTCTTGGCACTATTTGCAATAGTAACAAATGACTGCGATGTGTAATATCGTTTCTATGTCGTTAGTTATTTTCAAGACGCAGCCACAGCTTAAACTGGAAAGTTTTCACCTGCAACAAATACCAGTGAATTGGGATGACAGTATCAAAATAGCAGTTTTATCCATAGAATGACTTTGTGTCCGAGCATTTTCAACAAAAAATGGCCTAAGTATTGTCCAATAATCTCTTTATAAACAACATATCCAGACTGAAAATTTATGTAATGTTTTTACTTTCATGTTTACAAAGGCAATCTACAGTACTGTTTAAAAATTGAATTCAAATTAATATAATTGATTTAACTTCGAAATTACAAAATGTAGTATACCTTATTGCGGAACATTTTTATCAATAAAACATGCTAAAGAATACTAAATAATAAACGAGCATAAGATTCCACTCACCTTTTAGTTCAATGTTGATATCCTCACTAAAAATTAAAAACCATAAGAGATTATTAACATCAAAAGGCAAACTTTGCTTTACCATCGTACGTAATTCAATTGAATACATCATATTATAAAATATCGCATTAGATTTCAGTAAGGATGAAAAACTTTACATGTTTCCACACATACCTTGAAGCAGCGCTTTTTTCCATGTTGTAGACGGTAGATGTTAAAGCGATAATGACGATACATTGATTTGAAGGGATAATGCCGTCATTAAATATTATAATTATCTTTATTTATTATTTATCGATAATCTCTCATATACTAAGGATGTTAAAAGCCTCAATTGCAACATTGTTCGAGGGAATATTGAATAATGAATCTGATGAGAGATGTGTAACTGGGCTGTTTGCTCTTCGTATCTTTCGCAGTTAATTTGTCACTGCCATATGCCCAATCATGGAATTGAAGAATGGCTTTCGGCAAAAATTAACCACATGTATTTTGTGTTCAGAATATTGTTCTGGGGCATCTATTGTTATTTACACTCTTAATCATTGTCTAATTAGATGACAGACTGTGCTATGTAAATATATTACCAAGGGAATTAATTCAATAGACTCAGTTGATAGGTATATAAACCATTATGATTGTATGGAAGCCACGTTCTATCTTTATATATTCGATGTGGATATTTAGTGGCTCGAAACTCAAGTAAGATTTGGTAACTCTGTGACCAATAAATTATTCGACAATGATAACACAATTTACCATGTTTGACAGACATAGCTTTTATCATATAGAGTAGCACCTTCAGTTATAAGTGAGTTTGAATTTGAGGTAGTAATTTCAATCGGTGGCCAAAAAACTTTTTGAGGCATTGTCCTCGCATCCCTTATGCATCACCTACAATCTGAAAACAAGTGTATATATTCGGATTGGATTTGAACCAAGGAACTTTGTGTTCCTCATGGTGCTTCGTGGAAACAAAACAGCTCAGTAAAGAACATTGACGAAGTAAACGAGTTGTAAAATGTCCTTATTGAGACACCATATACCAATTAATGGCCTGAATTATTGTTTATAAATAATTTAGTTTACATTGTACTTCATATTGCCTGGTAAAACATTAGTATGATACAATGGGTAAATCTTTTCTACATAGTTTAAACCAGCCAAATACTTAACATAGAGAAGCCTTGATCAAACTATCTCAATAATCCTATATAAGCATGGTAACGACGCAAATTGTTTACTAAAAAATCGTTTGTCGGACTCGAACTAAAACTGCGACAAATCACCTAAGCTCTATCTGTGATGTTTAAAGGAATATTGCCTACAAACAAATGATACCCAGGGGCTCGGTGACTCCAACACCAACGGCGAGGTTGTAAGAAATAATTTATTATTCATCCACTTCATTGTTTTCGATCTTCGACATAAAAATGAAAAATGCAAATGCTTAACTTAGAGAAGCCTTGTTCAAACTATCTCAGTAATCCTATATAAGCATGGTAACGACGCAAATTGTTACTCGAACCGAAACAGCGACAAATCACCTAAGCTCTATCAGGGATGTTTAAAGGAATATTGCCTACAAACAAATGATACCCAGGGGCTCGGTGACTCCACCACTTGAGGCACTAAAGAAACGTAAAAAACGTAAAGTGCTTGTATTGAAGTAGCTAAGCTATAATAAACAACATTAAAAACCATCGGCGCGGTTGTAAGAAATAATTTCTTATTCATCCACTTCATTGTTTATTCCAGTTAGGAAAACTTGTCGCAATTTTTTGATTTCTTGCAATATTCTCGTCTTGGTGATTTGACTGGCACCGCTTGATTAGACGTGAAAAGTTTCTTGACCACTGAATGTGGTCTATAAGTTTTCGGTACCATTACTTTGGTAGTCTCTGAGTAACTGACAGTTCGACGTCTTGGATTTACACTTGGCTGAATATCCTTGTTCTTTGGAGATTCTTCCATCATATGTTCAGGTTGTTGACTATATGTTTTGGATATTTCTTGAAGAATCTGCTGATGAATTTCTGATCCCATGGGCAATTTATCAGAATGTGGAACATAATCTACGAGTGTGGTCAATCCAACGGTTTCCAGGGAAGCATCTGGAGGTATCTCTGGTCTGATTTCTCCTTGTATCTTAAATGTTGGTTTGGTTAGCACTGAATCACTAAAACATCGGAATGTTCTAACACCCAAATCATCATCTCCCTCCATGATTCTTTCAAGAAATTTTTTGTGATAAGACATTTGTTTCTTTTACAATTCTTTTCAGTCTCACTTTAATACAATTTCTTTTACATTAATGTGTTATCCCACTTTAAGACAATTATTTTACATCAATGCGTTATCTCATACAGTACTTAAATTACTCTTTTATATCCATGTATTGAAGTTCACTTTGAATAATTTCTCTTCCAGAAAAAAAAACATTTTCATGCATTGTATAAAACATTTGTTTCACATGTCTACGTTTATGGGGTGAATGTTTTCAAATAACCAAGCTTAGAACGGCCAATGATCTACTCAGTAGTTTCCACAAAATTAAAAGGTAAAGAGATCTGGGATATATACACAAATAAAAGGTCTGAATGAAATAAGTGGTGTTTATGCCTGACATCAGAGTATTGTAATGTAAACAAAAAACAATAATAAGAACTGTTTTTTAAATATAGATCCGTTGTGTGCGCATGGTTGGTTGTTGAGAACATACACTTGTTCCAAAACAACTAACATGTTGCCAATTTTCAAGTTCTAGTTTGATAGTGGCGACGCCAGCCTCCCGATACTGGGGGTACAAATAATAGGCAGACTAACTTACTAACTTAATAGGAGAACAATAATTGTCGAGGCTGAGATTCAATATGCGGTAAGTCTCCAATGGAGCGTTTGAGAGGGTTCTCCATCAAGAACATGTTTGAAAAACAGAATTGAATTTTGATTTTTGACATATATTCAGTACCCCTTTTGGTACTTGTAGTTGGAATTAAGTTCCATGGCCTTGGAAATTAAGTATGATGCGAAAAACTTAAGCAAGGGGGCTCTTGTCATAAATTTAACATTTCTACTACTTTTAATTAGCATGGATTTATCAAATATTTATTTTATTAATTATCAACAAATAGATCAAATTGGTCAATAAACTTCACCGTACATTAACCCCACCTTCTATTATCTATACTATACTGTTATTATCTCCCATTGTGGTTAATACTTGAACGTGTTACAAAATATGCATTTGTTCACGTTTGGAAAGGCTCTCGAACATGCAAAGTTTAAGTATTTAATTATGCTCTTAGTTGCCTTCTTTAAATTTGATTACCTATTTGGATTGAGATTTCATATTTCATATAGTCCATATTTTCATTTGAGTAACATGGTACTGAACCAATATCCGAAGTTACATACAACGTTATGTCTCATTTCTTCCCCACACCTTATGCTTGTTATATGAACTGAATAATCAATGGAAGGGAAAGCAGATCATTTTATTGAGAGTTCAAGTGTAGAAGATTTAATATTTTTCCAAGCTCTCATCTCTTCTATAGTAGTAAGTAGTGGACGACCTCGAGTTTCTGGTAACAAAGTTATCAATATAGCAGCCAATAAACATCCACCACTAAATACTACTCTTGGTCCCCATATCACGACATCAGACTGAATATATATTGAACGAAGAGGTGAATCAATGTGAATCAATCAAAACATAGCCCCTGGATGCATTAAAGTAAACCACGGCCTATGAAGAAGGGTTTTAGCTGCAATTTGAGTGAAATGAAACAGCTTGAACCATTGTTATAAATCAAATCTAAGTTTTGGGCAGATAATCTCTGACCTTCCTCTACAGCCTCAGTCCCATTGATTGATTACATATTTACCAATAAGCTTGTGTATAGGGCTAACATTCCACCAACTCTCGCGATCGATGACGCGATTCCAATTCCGGCACTTCTACAAAAGTTATGGCAAAAATTGTCTTCAAATCATTTGTTAGATTTGACAATATTAATGATAAACAAACATTGCCCACCAGTGAACGAAAAGCAATTGTAAAGTAAGATTTTAGAGACTTAGTTCATAATATTGGCTTTGAAATTTTCTGAATAAATGGATTTACAAAGTAAACAGTATATCACTTGCAAGTATGTGTTGAAAATGCCATTTTTATTTATATTTTTTGAAATTACCGTAACCTAAAACTTCCTTCTAATAATGTTCCTATAAGATTGCTTTAATCAGAAACCAAACAATATTTACCTCATATTGGTAGGGAACAACTTGGGAGTATAGATAAACAAACTGTTAAAGGAGGCTGATATTGCAAATTTACTGATTAAAGAAAATACAACACTTGACATAGATCCAGTAGATGTATCGCCTGGAATATAAGATACATGTACACCATTACTGCCTACACAGAGTATATGCTATTGAAAATGGATTAGGATCAAACCGTGATGATATTTGTTTCATCCTGTTAATCCAACAATGTTGGCCAGTAATAGCTAATGCCACTAATAGTACGCATTATTATATAGTATGCACCAGTATATAGCACGATCTGTTATATAATACGCATCAATGTATCGTACACACCAGTATTATAGTACGCCCCCGTATATAATAGCACCAGTATACTATGCACCAATGTATAGAATATATACAGTATGTAGTAATATATAGCATATTATATATAGTATGCACCTGTATATAGTATGCACTAATAGTACACGACAGTACATAGAACCAACCAGTGTCTGTATATTGTACGCACCTGTACCTACTAGTTTATGGAACATGGTACGCACCTGTATATACAACGCACCAGTACACACTACACACCTGTATATAATACGCACCATAGTATCAACTAGTTTATAGCACACCAGTATAAATTGTTCCTAATACAATAGTACTATTTAGTATAGAAAAGAGACTGGCCAGACTTTAGCCCCCCACTTTCAAATTTTTTACCATTTTACAAAGAGAAAGAATTGCCTGTGGCCCCCTGTGGTAGGTGATCAGAATGTGTTAACACTCCTAGAGGGTTTCTGACTAACACCGCTGTTACTGTTGCATGTCAAATGTGAAAGGCATTGTAGATTTTGGTATCGACATGTCATACTCGTCCACAAGGTCATGATGTGGAGCAAACAACATTTTTACTTCAATAACTATCAACTTGGTAACTTCTTTATTAAATCTTATATATCTTACTAGGTTTAGCGATATGTGTTACTGGTCTAGGGGTGTTTACAATTCTTCTATTATGGAAGGGAGTTTGTGGAAGAGTACTATATAAAATCGAGGTCTATCAGCTGGTAAAGCAAAATATTATGTATATTTTTTCGTTTTTGAGAATAATATCCTTGTTCTTACCAACTGTTGCTATCATTGTAACCGAAATTACTAAAGAGACTCCACTTATAATCATTACTATACCGCACACACTTCTCCTATCAAATCTGAAATAGAAGATTCAAACGCACAAGCTACTAAACAGAAAAATAAATATTAAAATCAGATCAGGATTGGGGATTTAACTTTCATTTTCAACTATAAGTCAATATACATGGAACTATATATGTTTAACCACAATTTACTTGCTAGAAAGTTACATACCTTTTTAGAGCGTAGAAAACCAAAAACATGGCGGGAAGTTCTAATACTGCGTTGAGAAAATAATTGAATAATCTATTACCGGAAAGACTGGAAGACATCAAGAATAAACCATAATAGGTTAAACTGTTTATTGTCCTGGAACCATACCAATAAAATTACTAAGTATTGTACTTCTTTGAATTTCTTCAAAATAATTCCTCTTATGTATTACCATTATATCATTGAAACGGATTTCAGATAGGAATATCGACTCACACAGTTTTTTTTTTTAATAATTTTCAATTTATTTATACACATGTAGGTATATGTATACCGAAATAAACTTGATCGTTTAACCTACCATTATTATATAACAGAGTATCAGAGTAACTTTCAAAATGTCGAAATATTTAAATATATCAAGTATGGTGTATTCGTCTGGTGATTTTTCACTCTTCTTATTCTTCTTCTCAATTTTTATTTCGTCCGATTCCAGGTTGTTTTCTTGGATATTCGATTCAGTGTTAGTCGTAAGGTGTTGGTTATTTGAAGTGTTATAAATAAGTCGTTGAACTTCGTCCTTTTTGTCAATGTCACTCGGGGAGGTTTTTCTGGCTTTTCAAAACCAGAATCACTTTGTAGCTCTAGCAGTTCGTTGACTGGCATCAACTTTTCTATTAGCGTTTCTTGTTTGCTATTTTTAGCCCTTGACAATTGCTCATATAACACCAGTCTCGATTTTGAAAATTCTGTTTTGTTTGATATACAAATACGTTTGATTACTTTTTCAGCTTTTTCGATTTTATTATTTGCCACCAACCAGCGAAGTGATTCTTCCGTAAACCTAGAATGAAAATAGGGGGTACCTTTAGAAATCATACCATCATACCTATCATAGTAAGATACACGTAGTCAATTAGCCTTGTCTCTTATCTCGCTTTGAGCAGACCAAAAGCCTCATTGAAGGCTGCTGTATAGTTAAAGGGTTGCGAGTGAGATAGCAAATATCTGCCCTGTAAGTTGTAGGCCTGGTGTAATAAACATTGCATAAAGATTCGACACCAGATCTAGAAACTAATATAAATACTTGAACATTGTTACAGCCAGCAAAGAGTTTATCATATTGAATTCCAAATTGAGAATTTGATAATTACCAAATGTGCAAAACAGCATATGACATAGCGATTGTGGAGGCAATTTGAAAATATCTCCAAGAATAATGTTGTAACAGATACCCCAATGGGGCTAAAGTCATTACAGCCGCAGTCCAAGCTAATCCACCCAAACAACCAGCTATTATATATATATATATATGCATACAAGATTATAAAATACGCGTAGTGCAAAAACACTAGTATATTGGTATAAGAAACATAGCATTCTGACCTGTTGCATTGCACCTACAATAAATCGTAAAACTATAAATCCACCAATATTGTTGATAAAGACAATAGCGATACAAGAAAAAAGTAAACCTCCCTGAGTAATCAGATGTATTGGTCTCCATCCATATTTATCAGCCAATGATGTGAAAACAACAGCGCCTACTCCTTGTCCTAACATTAAAATCGTTTGGCTCAATTCGGACAAACCAGCACGATCACAGACCAAATCCCCCTGCAAAACAAAGAAATACTTTCAAGTTTTCAATATTGTGACATTCAGATAAATTATATTTCGGTCTCAATTCAATAAATTATATCTTTGAGTTTTAGACACAATAGCTGACCACTGACCGTCATGTTTTTTAAATCAAGTATCATCTCTTTTTTTTTCTTCTTCGCATTATAAAAAATTTCATACTTACTTCTGATACTATAGATATATCTCTATGGACACCAAAATAATCATAGCCATTGATACATCTTATATTGGTAAGGGAGGTAACTCCAGAATTATTAGACTTGATGTCGATACTACATTGATTATAGATAATATCAACCACCCTTATCTTCAGATATACCAAAATCACTTACATTAGTTCCATTGGGCAACTGGGCACATCTGTATTCTGGTACGTAGCCTGGAGGGAAATGAAATAGTATTGATCAAACTACATCATTGAAATCTGCACTTGACAAGGGCATACGACAAAGCACGATTTAATGCAAAGATTTTCTGACAACTTTTAGATCCAGAATCACAAATTTTGTTGTGAAAAAAGACCTGCGATTGTATAAACCAAGTTGTATTTCACTTCTTTTATATTGTCATGATTTGGCTCTCTTTGACGGTTTTAAAAGATTGATTGATAAAGGTAGGTAGATTAGAGCAGAAAAATATATTTGGATCGTAGTTTTACGTACCTATAAAGACAATAGATAAAATTGGATAGGCGCAACTTAAAGAAATGAGAAGCAAAAAGATGCTCTGGATTATCTGGTATTTCCCTTTATAGCCAGTCACCATTAATAGCTCATCTAAATCTACTTTTACATCCCCTGTCATCTTCAACTATACTGAAATATCAATAACTGGCAAAGTAGAATTGAGTACCTGTCCAGGCAACATTTGTCTCCGTTTGGAGAAAGAACTGTAAAAGTATCTACACCACTAAATTTCAGAATCAGAGTCAGAACTTGCACAACGCATAATGTGTATCAGAATATCAACAGAGCTAGTTTTGAGTATATTACAATACTTGATGGAAGTCAGAATTAGTTCAATCCGTCACAGAAAGCTGGATTAGAGTCAAGGCCGGCCCATTTTAATTCATAATAAATTGAACAGATCTGTCAGATCCGTCACAGTATTTACAGAGTCAAAATCAGTTCAAATCTTTGTAATATTTACAGAGCTGCATCGAAGTCAAACTCTGCTTAACCCTTCACAGTTTTAACAGAAATTAATCCGAATCAGTTTAATCCGACCCAATAACTCTGGAGATCTTATCCAAAGTTAATTTATATTACGGTTGGAAAATCATATATTTAAGGTTTAAGATACTCTTTATAACATACCCGATGACTGGCCGCTCACCATAAAGTTCACATCTAATGCTCAATGTCCTTTCTATTACCATAAGTTTTATCTTTATGTTCATGAGAAAGAATAAAGACTATGAAATCAAGTTCGAGTAATAAAGAGTTCGTGATTATGCAAAGAAATTTAATCTTCGTCATTATAAGTTAGCTTGCGGATGTGTCAAGAACATGAAGGGCACGGGTCCTAAAAAATAAATTTTAAAAATCCTTAAAGATGGTTTTCCTTACTTTTTAGAGTCAAATTAAGCAAACTATATGATTAATTCGTGTTTCTAATGAATTATCATGTATTCATAATCATATCCTTATGTTTTACATTGCATATAAAAAAAGTGTTAACCCATCATAAATGCCCATGTATGTACAGTCTTGATAAACAAAAAAAAAGACTTTTTGACCTTTCTTGATCGGTAATTCTCTTCCAATTTAGGTAGTTATGAATTAGTTATGGACAAACTGGTATTTTTCCAAGTCATAAGAACGCCTCTACTCTCTTTTCACATAAGTATTAGTATTTTCATTTTCATAAATGAAAAAGAGGGAACCTATCTTTAAGCACAGATAGTCCCATAATGGTCATGGATTACGTTTTTATACGCCCACATGAAATGGGGGGCGTATATTGCCGTCACCCATGTCCGTCCGTTCGTCCGTCCACAATTGCTCGTAAACACTCTACAAGACACAATTCTTGACGGATTTTGACTAAACTTGGTATGAGTGTTTGTAATCACCCAAGGATGAACCCTATTGAAAATCAGAAGAATCGAAAAATATTTAGTATAAGTTATTGCCCTTGTTCTTGTAAACGCGTTCAATTTTTTAGCATGTAAACACTCTAGATCGGACAATTCTTGACGGATTTTAACGAAACTTGACATGAGTGTTTGTTATCAGTCAAAGATAGACCCTATTGAAAATCAGAAAAATCGAAAAATATTTAGTATGAGTTATTGTCTTGTTCTTGAAAATGCGTTAAATTTTTTAGCTTGTTAGCATGTAAACACTCTAGAAGGGACAATTCTTGACGGATTTTAACAAAACTTGACATGAGTGTTTGTTATCACCCAAGGATAAACCCTATTGAAAATCAGAAAAATCGAAAAATAATTAGTATGAGTTATTGCCCTTGCTATTGAAAATGCGTTCAATTTTAGCTTGTAAACAGTCTTGAAGGCACAATTCTTGACGGATTTCGACGAAATTTGGTGTGAGTGTTTGTAATCACCCAAGAATAAATTTAGTATGAGTTATTTCCCTTGTTCTTGAAAACGCTTTCAATTTTAAGCCTGTAAACAGTCTAGAAGTAGAAGGCCCAATTCTTGATTGATTTTGATAATCTTATTCGGTATCGCCTCAAAAAGTTCAAAAGAAGTGTATGTCTGAAGGTTGAATATTTCATACTGGTAATTGTTACTGTACTGCCAAATATTTATATTTAAAATCAAAGCTGCCAGTGGGCGTATATTATCTTGCCTGGCAAGTTATCTTCATATTACAATGAATACGTAATACCTTGACCACTGTGATGTGTCTTCACTTTCGTATAAATCAGTGCTTCTCAACAGTCGCGGCGCCGCCCTAGAAAATTGGTCTCCATCCCAAAGTGTACGTACCCCCACTTTTATCAAATTAGGATTTTTATACGTTTGTGTCCCAAAATCAACTATTTTTTCACAAATTTTTCTTGTCAAGATACCGGCTACGCTGCTAAATGCAAAACATTTCATGAAACGCTGCTTTCGTTTTGTTTACGTTCGCGTAACGAGTGGTGTAATTTGATTGGCTGAAATTTCCTACAAAGATTCCAGTTTTGATTGGACAATATTTATATGACTAGGTAATTTTCCTTACTTATATAACCACGGCCCAGGAAGTATGATGAATGGGGTGTGTGGTTTGGACATGACAGACAAAATGTTGCTGTCTGTAGTGAGTAGGTATTGTTGTTTAATGCTGTATATCATTGTGAAAGATGATCATCACGCGCCACCACTTTTGCCATGTCAAACCGGCACAGACCTACCAAAAAGAAAGAAAGAAAGAAACACAACCTTCAAAAATGATTTAATCGATTTGCTGCGGACAGCGAACACCAATAAGTGAGATAGACTTTTTTTAGAATCTGTAAAGTACTACTTCATTTGGAGTTTTTTCAGTTTTTCATCTATGAAACAAAAAAAGTCTCATGTAAAAAGACTAGCGATCACCACAATCATCGACGTAACTAATCACAATGAAGCCTGATAATGAGCTATATGCGCATTTCGTATTGGTGTATAAAAATTGGTTGAAGAGGAAGATTGCCTCCCTTTGTTTTAAGTTTACTACTGACTACATTTTGAGAAGGAATTTCGTTCATGGTTTGCAGTTTCAGGCACCAAATTGTTTCTTCTCTATCTGTTTTGTTTTTTATCAAATATGTTAGCTTTTATTGATGTAGTATTTTAAATTACAAAGGTGTTTAAAATAGCCTACTGATCTTGCATTTGATTCTATGATTTAGTTCCCTTTGTTATGATAGCAGGGTAGTTTTATCGTCTACAGACCGTCATCATCCAATCAGATTCATTGCCCCCACCCAGGAAAAATTGCATGAGAGCATATTATATGTTAAAAAGAAATTCCACGGGAGGGACCAAAGCCTACGTCCAATTCAAACTTATGAAAAACATACCGACAAAAGCTTAATTTATATAAAAATATCAAAATACAATCGAGCTCAGCTAATATATTCGCCAACATAAAAGCAGATCATTTTATTGAGAGTTCAAGTGTAGACGATTTGATATTTTTCCAAGCTCTCATCTCTTCTATAGTAGTAGGTAGTGGACGACCTCGAGTTTCTGGTAACAAAGTTATCAATATAGCAGCTAATAAACACCCACCACCAAATACTACTCCTGGTCCCCATATCACGACATCAGACTGAATATAGATTGAATGAAAAGGTGATGGAACTGGTATTAATCAAGAATATTGGAACTTTGAGAAAAGACGTGAAAGACGATGCCTGTTTATTTTCAAAAACTGCCACCATGAACAGTTGAGGCGCTAACCTTCGGAGTCTGGGGATACAATTAGGGGTCAAACTGTCTTGACGCGGGGATAAAACTGTCGAGGTTGAGATTCAAAAAGTGCCAGCTCTGACATGGTTCCCAAATGATATTTTCAAATTTGTAAATTCATTTACAATGATGACAAATGAGGCTGGTGATAGCCAATGATAATTATGTTAATAATATTTACCAATAACCTTGAAAAGGGAGCCACCATTCCACCAATCCTAGCAGCTGAAGAACCTACCCCTAGTCCAGCATTTCTACAAGCATATATGTACATGTCAATATTCTGATATTTTGAAGTTCCAGTTAATTAGCATGCCTCATCAATTGTGTCTTAGCAACAGAATACAACAAGGTTTATAATAAATTTGATTACAGATGTAAATGCTTCGTATTTTGTTTTTCATCCATGATCTGAAGAGATATTTCTTGAATCATGTTCAATTTCCTCCGATTATCTCCCTTAGCAAAATATGGACACGAAACATCTCATTCTACACGATGCCAAATCTTGTATATTTACATCACAACTGTTTCAAGCTCATAGTTCTATATTTACCTCATATTGGTAGGGAACAACTCGGGAGTATAGATAAATAGACCATGGAAAGAGGCTGTTATTGCAAATTTACCGATTAAAGAAAATACAACACTTGACGTTGAACCAGCAGATTTATCGCCTGGAATATAAAATACCCCCTAGCACAACTTCTCTCTGAAAGTCTTGTCAAAGATTTTTTTAATTACATCAGAACTCTTTAAGTAGCAATCTTGTTGGAAATGGCATAGAACTAGCAGTAAATTTGTTGCTGGCTTGATATTTAGTATAAATCGACAAATCTAAATGATTTTGCATAAGTTGTGAGAATCGTCGAAATTCAACAGCCCGCTCATTACATGTCACTGCACCATGAATCATTGAATACATTATTATTAGTGAGTATAAATTCTTAACGAGAAGTGAAGAAAATTTTACCGGTGAAAAGTATCGTCTCAAAAGTTGCTGCCTTGACTTTGGCTTGAGAGCATAACAGTAATGTACTTACCAACTGTTGCTATTATTGTAACTGAAATTATTAGAGCAACTCCACTTATAATCATAGATATACCACACACACTTCTCCTGTCTAATCTGTTACAAAAAATAATACATAAAGAATGAATTAAATCACCTTTTGGTTCTACAGTCTAGTTATTTACCTAATTGCTTTCCGATCTTTTAAACTATTTCCCATTAAGTTGTTCTCCCTATCAGCTCGTTGCGCCTACCTTGAGCAAAATAAACAACTTCAAGATTCAAATGAAAGCTTTACAATTGACGAATTAATGTGGATATGTTTCAACAACGAAATGTTGGAACACTCGGCATAAATGGCTGAATCACATAACATTTCCTTAAAAAATAACATTTTCTGGCCCACCGTGGTTGCTCACTAGCACCCTGGTGAGTATTGGTATTGGTTATAGGCAGAAAGTTTGTTTTCGTCATCTGGACTCTAATATATATCCTTATTGGGAACTTGCCTTCTTAGAATAACTAAGCGAGAAAATTACATCAGAAAAAGAGATTGTACCTCTCTTTAATAATATGTTTCCTGTATAATGGCTTCGTGCCTTTCAGAGCTTTGTAAACAAATACAAAAGACATATGTATCGATGTTACCTTTTTACAGCAATGAAAACAAATAGGAGGGATGGAAGTTCTACTACTGCGTTGAGAAAATAATTGAAGAATCTATTACCAGAAAGATTGGAAGACGTCAAGAATAATCCATAATAGGTAACGCTATTTATAGCCCTGAAAATACAAACTATCAGTGGAAAAATCGTTTGCGACACAGTAAAAGTGATCCCCCATTGATCACAAATGGAGCAATAGCCACTGATCCGTCGGTTTTGCATAAGGGACTCTAAGGTTTGTCTTGCTTTTATATGTTCTACAAGTTTTGGTCAAACCACAAAATAGCTATGCTCATTAAAGACAGCTATCATAAACTAAAACCTGTTTTTCCTGAATTGATTTTGAAAATTACTACTCTTTACGAAATCTTAACCACAACCACAATCTTAACCACAAGATCTTTGTCAGTTTCAATTTTCTGTGGTTAAAAAATGTACATGCTACCTCATGAAGAGAGTACTAACTTCTTACATTTTCTATGCTTCTCAATATTTTGTACTCTTTTTGCCCGAGGTTTAGATATGTTCGCAAATCACTTAATAAAATTACCCACCATATATAACAGAGTATCAGAGTTACTTTTAAAATGTCGAAATATTTAAATATATCAAGAACTGTGTATTCGTCTGGTGATTTTTCATTCTTCTTATAATTTTTCTCACTTTTAATGGAATCAGATTCCAAGCTGGTTTCTGTGGCATTAGATTCGATGCTATCTGCTTTGGAACAACTGTTGTTTTGGTAATCTGTGGTATTCTTATCAATAAGAACTCTTGCTTCCTCCTCATTTATATCAATACTTGATGGTATATTTCCTGTGTTTTCTGACTTTGGTTTTAATAGCTGTAGTTCGTTGACCGGTGTCCACTTTCCCATCACCATTTCCAGCTCATTTTTGGTTTTAGCTTTTGCCATTTGTTGATGTAAAGCCAATCTGGATTTGGAAAATTCTGTTTTATTTGCTTTGCACATTTTGCTGATGATATCCTCGGCCTGTTGAATCTTGTTGTTTGCCACCAACCAGCGAAGTGATTCATCCATGAAACTTGATGAGTAAAGAAAAAATAAATACTTGGAGTTATTATTTCACATCGGATCTTTACTTTAGAAATGAGAATGTTCTTTATGGTCCAGAGATTAAATAATGCGTGGTACACATTATAAGTTGATACCGAATGTCCCCTTTTCAATAACTTGATCAGTGGTACAGAGTTCGCCGAACACCAATTGTGGGAGATGCCGGTGTTTCTATATGTGACTACTCTTTCTTGCGCACCTTGCATCACAACAAGGTCATTCTACCCATTGACGCCTCGTATCTATTTGTTTCAGAGTGAAACTCAGATCATTGCTGTTGTTGGGTTCGTCCTCCTGGGCTTAATATCGTTAATTTAATGGTTATTAATACAATTACCAGATCATGAGAACAGCATACGACATGACGACTATTATAGTAACTTGAAAATATCTCCAAGAGAAATGCTGTAACAGGTACCCTAATGGTGCTAATGCCACGAGTGATATTGTCCACGACAGTCCATTTAGACAACCAGCTAGTGGTCTGAGATCAGTGATCAACATCTCCACCAATATAGCGTATCCTGTTAATGCTACAGACTGAAATGATTTGAAGGGGGTGCAACTCGTGCCTACAAACTTAGTCAATTCAGTCGGCGACGGGTGCACTACTTTAAAAAATATATTTCAGGGCAACATTCTATGGAATTTAATCGAAAAGAAAATCCGTACCAATAAAGGGTTATAACACGCTATCTTAAGCAGATTGTTCGTTGATGCTACTTAGATATAATTTACAATAGAACTCAAATTAATGCTGACCTGTTGCATTGCACCAACAATAAATCGTAAAACTATAAATCCACCAATATTGTTAATAAAGACGATAGCGATACAAGAAACAAGTAAACCTCCCTGAGTAATCAGATGAATTGGTCTCCGTCCATATTTATCAGCCAATGATGTACAGATGAAAGCCCCAACTCCTTGTCCTAACATAAATATCGTTTGGCTCAATGCGGACAAACCAGCACGACCACAGACCAAATCCCACTGAAACCAGAGCGAAGGGAATTGATTTATACAGGTTTCAAAATTGCCAACAGTTGTGCCTCAACCATTAATGACTATATGCCTGGACCCGCTAGATCCAAAAATCATATTGACGATCTTGTGTATGTTTAATTATCAGATTTGCCCTCCGCATTTTGGTAAATATGAAAGTCCCAATACAGAATGTTAATTCAAATCCTACTCACTTCTGATACTATAGATATATCTCTATGAACACCGAAATAATCATAGCCATTGATACATCTTATATTGGTAAGGGAGGTAACTCCATAATTATTAGACTTGATGTCGATACTACATTGATTATAGATAATATCAACCACCTTATCTTCAGATATACCAAAATCACTTACATTAGTTCCATTGGACAACTGGGCACATCTGTGTTCTGGTACATAGCCTAATAAAATATATTTTTTTGTTCTAGATATCACAATCAGATTAAAATTAAAGTCAAGGGCTGTGTTTAATTGTATTTTTACACATAGATATGACAGATTTTGTTATTAAGGCACGTGCTTTGAAATTTATCAAAAATTTGACTTTACATCTTCACTAAACTAATGTTTTACCTGTGTTTTTTAAACCATGGCGTTTAAATTTACTAGTCCAAATATTCGTATCAATTCTTAAGCAAATGTACGTATGGTCCAAGGCTACAAACTCAACAGTATATCAGAATTTATATTCTATACATGTATATTCATGTACTTATCAGTCGTTAATTGCATTGAAAACTCGCAGGGGGGGGGGGGGGGGGGGGTTTATTGTGGTCGCATATTGAAGGTGATTGCTTAATAAAGGTGGTCGCGTAAGCAGGATATACTGTATATAGTTACCAATGAAGACAATTGACAATATTGGAAACGCCGCACTAACAGGCGTTAGAAGCAGAAATATGCTCTGGATTATCTGGTATTTCCCTCTATAGCCAGTCACCATTAAAACCTCATCTAAATCTACTTTTACATCCCCTGTCATTTTCAACTATACTGTATACTGCTGAAACAATACAAGCTGATTATATGTGTCGATCTAGCTAGATGTTTCTACTGGTGTCTTCACAGACCATACGTGACCTGATAAAAACCCTCTTTAAAATGTGTTGATTTTAGCTTTTAAACAAGATAAAAGGCATACGAAACTACATATGGAAATAATACATTTACGAGTCATACTAATTTTCGTGTGGATAAAAGGGTGCCGTTTCGATACAAGTTTTTTAGGGACATTAGCTGAGAGGTGTATGGGTACGGGTCGCTTGAGTCGCCAGCCGTTATAAACTATTATAGATTTCAACCGTTGGTAATAAGACCCTAGCGTCTATAGTTAGGACGAACCATGAGTTTGATTATCATTCTTCCAAGTGTTACAGGTCTGAAATCTAGGTTAAAGCAAAAAACCACCGAATTCATGAAGTCTAAGACCTACATACCTGGTGACTGGTTGTATCGTAAAATGCATGTCTCCACTACCACTGCCCTTTTATAGCATCTTTATAGTGAACATGATTTAAATTTTAATAAGGTTATGTAGGAGAATTAATTTCATGATAATTTTATTTTAAAAACTGCTTTGTCATTAGCCCCTGTAAACATGATTACAAATCAAACAGATTATGTTCATCATGTAAAATTTCATCATTCCAAGGTTTTGAATTTCGTAATTGAGAGTTGCATGTTACACTCGTTACCCAGCAACACAACATCTCGAATTTTTCTCTGGTTTATCTAACAAGGCCATAGCGTAATGGAGAAAAAGCCTCTCTTTGTAACCACGCAAAAACTTTCGAAGTTTATGTTTTTTTTTCTTTTCAGTTATCTATTTGAATCTACTCGGGCCACCCTTTGCCATTCAATTTGAATTGCGCTACGACTACTATGTCTACTATGAACGTTGTTGTAGTAAAATGTTGTTTTAGGGGAAGACTTCATTCCAGAGCCAATGTTAATTGTTGGTAAGTAGTATCATATCAAACAAAGCTATGCAATTTTCGATGAGGTCCTGGGTTCTCTAATAGCCTTGTTATTTGCTCTAACCAAAATTACCAGAGGTTCTCATTTTATTGACCCAAACGACCAACATTTTAGCAAGCCAACGTGGCTGATCAGAGTTATCTGAAGACACAATTCTAGGAGATGGGAAAATAGGAACATGTCAACAAAATTTATAGATCATTTTAATGCCAACATAAACATGTTTCAAAAAGGAATATTAAAGCTGTCTCAATGACAGTAAAATATGACGTGATTGTTAAAGGGAATGTAAAAAGGTTAACTAAAAATGTATGTGTATCGGAGACACAAATAACACCAATTTGCGCCATCTGACTGAAACTTGGAATGGTCCAAATTGATGCTATCAGTGTCCCCGACAGACATAAATAATAGAAAACCTCTTTACAATCTCTTTTAGTTAAATCTAAATCTTTCATTTTCTGAGCTTGTAAAATTATTTTGTAATTTAAGATGCCACCATCTTAAATGAGAGTCACCAATCACCTTGGATCAGCGAGAGTTCACTGTTGTGTTGAAATATGTTTGCTATGCACGATAGTAGTCCCTTAAGTATTACAAACACGACAATTTGTTTAGATTTAATTTATTTTTTTCCACAAAACGTTATAAAGGGGTTTTCTACGGGGAGATTTCCAATCGACTGCTCCTTTATCTCCATCAGTCCTAAAGGCTTTATAACCATATTTGATCATTAAGTCTCTAACATTGTCTCTATTAACATGATTGACCCATTCCATTAAAACATACCTCACATCAAATTCCTTAAACAGTTTACTGCCACCAGATATAACTTCAAACTCATGAGATTCTACGTCCAGTTTCATAAAAATCTTTTTAAATGTTATTTCCGGTATCAGATCGTCCAACATGGCTGACACGGTAAATTTTCTATCAAATGGTGTGACCTTCTCGGTTTGATCTTCTGCCGCGAAAACTCTTGTAGCTCCGATCCTTATTCCATCTGTCACAAAATACATTAATCTATGCATATTTGAAACTATTGTGTATGCTATTTTGACATTGTCTTTGAAATTATTTCGCACAATCGAGCTACACCACGCATAAACATTCATATACAGGGGGTCAACTGTAATGACCTTACGATTCATCAATGCTGCAGTGGCCGAATAAATGCCTACATGAGAGCCAACGTCTAACAAACCCATACCCTCGTCCTCTTTTAAACAGTCATACATGAGTTTGATATCACTTGGTTCAAATGTATGGTATTTTAATATCATTCTTGAAACAAAATTATCACGACTCTTTTCATGAACAAAAAACGGAATTTTTCCAGATGGAACGTACAAATCGGCAACTGTGTAATTTCGGAAGTCCTTATCAATACACAAATTTGGCCACTTTAACCACTGTGTACCATCCCATCGTAGCACGTCTGGTTGAGACGCGTCATTTTCATCATGGAGGCCTACATTGGTGATACTCTCAATTACAACTTGACGCCCATCTACCTCAGAACGAGTGGTAACTGCTGTCCGATAAGTGGGAGTTCTTATAAATATAAAAATCACAAAACTGATCATAGCTATCAAAACCAGTGCACAACCATTTCCATGTCGTGAAGATCTAAAGAAATTCTGAAAAATAAAAGTAACTATTCAGCCTCTATAAGATTTCAAATTGAACAGCCTGTTTTCAGCAATTTTATAATCTTGACTATTCGTTGAGGATTTTTTTGTTCTTAAAGACTCATGCCTGAGAACCCAACATATATTGCGTTTGTAATGCAGTATGTATGTGGAGTCGGGCAAATATATCCAAATGCATCCAATCGTCAGTCAAGGAAAAATTTCAAAAACACTTACATTTCTCATAATTCACTACAATATCAAATGCCGTCTACGATATATTTTCTTCCTAAAACATCCGACCCAGAAATTTATTTTACTATTATTTACGAAATGCTTGTGGTTTTATACGATTTTGTTCTTTTGATGCCTAAGGCATTGTTTTTTATCCGGTTGGTGTAGCTGATTAAGAACTGATTAAGAACTGATTATTAAACTTATGATCAAACAAGTGTATAATATCAGAAGTTTAGCCGAGGGTTACATACATAAAAGGTAACATTATATTTAGATAACATCTAAAAAATTACTGTCAAAATTTTACCGAGAATAAAGATACTTTATTTAAAAGAGAGTAGAATTATAAATTATAACAAACACAAGAAATAGGAAAGAATGATTAATTATAACAAAACACAAGAAATAGGAAAGAATAATAAATTATTACAAAACTAAAGAAAAAGGAAATAATGATTAATTATGACCAAACACAAGAAGTAGGAAAGAGTGATAAATTATAAAAAAAAAACACAAGAAATAGGAAAGAATGATAAATTATAACAAAACTAAAGAAATAGGAAAGAATGATAAATTATAACAAAACTAAAGAAATAGGAAATAATGATTAATTATAACAAAACACGACACAAAAGAAATTTTAAAGAATGTAGATTATAACAAAACGAAGGAAAAGGAATAGGAAAGAATGATGAATTATTACAAAACACAAAACACAAGAAATAGGAAAAAAATACCATCAAAATTTGACCGAGAATAACGATACTTTAGAATGATTAATAAACAAAACACAACAAAATGCGAAATAATGATAAATTATAATAAAACACAAAAATAGGAAGGAATCAAAATTTATAACAAACCACAAGAAATAGGAGAGAATGATAAATTAACACCAGAAATGGGGAAGAATCAAAATTTAACAAACCACAAGAAACAGGAAAGAATGATAAATTATAACAAAACACAAGAAATAGGAAAAATTGATTATTTATAACATATTAAAAGAAATAGGAAAGAATTATAAATTATAAAAAAACAAAAGAAATAGGAAAGAATGATTAATTATAATAAATCACAAGAAATAGGAAAGAATGATTAATAATAACCGAGGATTAGCCCCTTTTTTAACCGCTTAAGGCACGAGTCTTCCATATATTGCCATGCTTATATTCTGCCAATACGAAAAAAAGAGCGCATTCAGATTAAAACAAGTTTGGGAATATTTCTGGGCTGAAATCTGACAAACCAAATAAAAAAGATAAGACAAAAAAATCAGGTTCAATCTAAATGCATTTTGAAGAGCAACGTTTCTAGTATTACAATAACCTGAATAAGATGTAAAAACCAGTGTACAAATTTAACTTTTTATTACTAAAAATTCTTTGACATAAACAAGAAAAGTAACATTTGAAAGGAATGAGTCATGATATGGACTCCCAAAGCTAAATCCATAACAAAACATTATCATAACAAAATACACAGAATAATTTAGCTTAGTTGAGTTTGATGGCATATTAATTAAACGTTAAGGTATGTATTTTGTTTTAAAATGTTAAAACTTCAATTAGGCACATATTCAAGTAAGCACATTCTTTTTGGGCACACTTTTTTTTCATTCAGCACTATATTATTTAGGCACACCTGGTCAGTGGCGGCTCCAAAAAGGCGTGGGGGCATGGCCCCCAAATAATCAAGTAGAGAAAAGCGAGGTCACTTCATAGTTTAAGAAAACAAGGGATAGGTCTGGTATCACATATTCAAATTGCATGAAATGCATGCTTTTTTCAAGTGGGAAGATGCTACCATATACCTTTACAATACCTTTTGCGCCTTTGGTTCTTCAATATTTGCAATTTCAACCCTGACAGTTGCCCCCCCCCCCCCCCC